CATTCCAGAGCCAACCTGATTACGTAACCTGTCTGCATAAAATCCTTTAATGGTACACTCAGAATAAAATCCAACCTCACAAGCATGGATTATAACCCCCTTGGGACCAGGCACCTGCAAGGCATTTGACATTCCTTCTTCCCTTTTTCTTTCCCTTCCTTCCTTAGGCCACTTACCCACCCACCCAGGACTGTGAATGAGTCTCATCTCTCTCCTCTGTGAAAGCATCTTCAGATGCTGTTTTTCTAAGAAGCTCCAGCATCACCCTGCCTTCCTCTAACATCTCTTAATTGCCTCTGATGTGCTCACAAACTTTGCTCGGGGGAGCTTTCCTTAGAGTGCCAAAAGCTTACTTCAACCCAGCCCCTTCCTTGGTAATTATGATAATGTGTTTATTTTCCTACCTCCTCTGCTTGAGTTGGGAGACATAATACCTGCCGAAGGGTGTGCCCTGTTCACTGGGAGCACTTAAATCTGTGATGAATGAATGCTAATGAACTAACGGCCTTTCTCTTGGAGCTGGGATTTAATCTCATATATTTTTGTCTGTCCTCCCCTCTCTTGCCTTCAATTCTAGGGGCTGAAGGAAAAAAGGAGCAACTAGATGTTTTTCAAGAGTCGGTCATCTCAGGGGCTGGGGATTTAGCTCAGCGGCATAAGCGCCTGCCTTGCAAGCAGGCCGTCGTGAGTTCGATCCCTGGTACCGATAAAAACGAAAAAGACAAAAAAAAAAAAAAAAAGAAAAAAAGAGTCGGTCATCTCGAATATGGCCAACACAGTCACATGAAGCTCATGTTTCAACTAAGCAGATGCAATCTTTTTTTGTTTTTTTGAAAAGTCCATCTATGCTAATTTATAATGCTTACATAAATTCAACTCACCATGGAAATTTTATTTTCTGTAGTATTATAGATTTAATTCACTGACATTATCTACTCTTCTGTAAGTTTTATAGATAATGCTATTATTTCTAGTGGGCATAACCCAAATCAAGAAAGAAACGTAGCTTTAAAAATTGTCTTCCACTAATTCCACAATTAAGCAAGAGTACTAAAATATGCTTATATTTGTTGTAATGGTTTCACTGTATAAAGAGGAATATATTAACAAAATAGTGTTAATCTTACCTGAATGTCAAGAATACTTAGGGAAAAACCCACTTATTAATAAGGCTATGCTATAAAAATGCGCCTGTGTGACAATTTTAATCCAAAACTGGATTTTAGATATGAATTTTAACACCTGCTCTTCCAAATCTAGATGTATTTATTTGTATCATTCATTCACCTTCCAAACATATATTATTGTGCAGATGGGATTTTCAAGAAATCATGGTAATTTTTAATTGCATTCAAATATGCCTATGGGAAGGGTCTCTTAAAAAAAAAATGTTTAGAGTAAATATATCACTATACCTAAAAAAAGACTCATCTAAGGAAGAAACACACTAGGATTGGTCTTCTGTGTGTTGACAATAAAGACTCAGATCTGAACATACTTTAACCAAACTAGGGTAAAAACAGATACCTTGTACTGCCTTTTAAAACCAGCACAAAAACAAAGTTTCACAAGTATTACAGAAAGGCATGAATGGACAAAATCAAACAAAATGAGGCACAGAAAGAAAATCTGGGGTTCATATAGCAGCTACATCACATTAGAAGACAGGTTGGGGGTAGTAGGGTTTAGGTAAGCTCAGCAATTACACATGGTAGGTATGTACAACACTTTCAGAGAAGACACAGGTATCTTACTGAAATTTCTGAAATTTTATAAAATAACCTTTCCATTAGAAATACAAAACTTTGAATTGAAGTAGTCAAAACATAACCTGTCCCGCATTTCTAGCGACTTATCTGCTTTTTAAGTATGTCACACTATGCTTAAAATGTTCTTCTATTAGTATAAGCAAAGTCTGGTTCAAAACTACTACAACAGTGACAGAACTAGGATGGTGAAAATATAGCTACCACAAGCCGGTGGCAGGCAAAAAGGCCCCCGATTAGGTGTCAGCATTCAGAGCATCTATGTGTTTCTGCAGCTTTGATTACTCGAAGTATTTGAAAAAAAAAAATAACCAAATACATGAAACATTCACTTTACTGCAGTCAACAGCAGCTGATATCTAAAACTGGAGGGACAAACAGACCTAGAATGTCACTTGTTTGTTATAGACCCTTCTACCAGTTACCTTTGGTTTTGAACTAGTTACAAGAGGTTCTGAAACTAACCAAGCTATATTTCACAGGATTTTGAAATTCACATGAATTTCGTAAGATAAATTTTGAAGTTCATAAGAGATATTAAAATAACAGATTAAGTTATCATCTGATGTCACAGAACTTGAAATTAAAATATTTATCTGCTGTTAGGAATAATGAAAAGAATTCCATGACAAGACATTTTTTACAGTTTGAGGTGTGAACCTGGGCTTTAATGTATGTTTCTCTGAACAGTTAGTTGCAACTTTTCAAAGTGACTTGACAAAAAAAAAAATGCCAAATCCTTTTTTACAATATGTACTATGGTCATGGTTTTAGTAACCTCTTTATAATTTTGCCTGGATCGTTTTTTATTTTGCCAACAACTAATGGGTATTTCATTCTCGGTCCTCTTTCTCACTTCAGTTTGTGTCTAATTCAGTTGATGTGTGTGTGTGTGTGTGTGTGTGTGTGTGTGTGTGTGTGTGTGTGCATGTCTATATACAGGTATGTATGTCATGCTGGGGATTAAACCCAGAGCCTTATTATGCTAGACAAGTACTCTACCACTGAACTATTCTCTCAGCCCACTTTCCCCACCAGTTAGCTTAATTTTTATACGACTGAACATAATCTCCAAATGACCAAGAACCTACACTGATCTATTCTACTGTAAAGTCACTTCAGGTTGTTTTGAAGAACTAGGACAATTAATTCCTTATATACTAAATACATGGTATTTTTTCTGTATTGACACAGAAGTGTAATTATCTATAATGTGATATTTATGAGCTGTAGTATATGATATATGCATAAAATAACAGATGATAATGTGGGTTCCTGAGCTGCACACACAAAAAGGCTCCTGTCCTTTTTCAGACTGTGCTGTCTCGCCTTTATATAAGTCCTCAAGATACAAAACTGGGATTAAAAAATGGAGAAAATAACACAGATCTGCTGCTAACATGCACACAATACAGAAAAATAAGGAAAGTGCCATTTAACATTTTAAAAATTATTTTTCAGTATTTCAGAATTCATGCCACTTGTATCTCTATCCTTTGGTGATCTGTAAACCAATTATAAATTTGTACACATCCAGATACAATGTGTAATAGTACGCTAAGAAGAAAGTGACTAATGATGTTTAAACTAGCGTTAGAGCTAAATGAAGACAAAGAGAAGTAAAGAAAACATAAAAGAAAGACACCTGTGAGCTCACACCCTTTACTCCTGCGGGTGGCATCCCTGTAGCTGGGAAACTCTAGGTGGCTCAGGTGTGACACTCATCTCTTCATAGTTGTGGGAGCAAAAGTGGACATGTGACCCTACGACCCATCACGTGACCTGGGCAGAAAGATGAATGAGTCCAATCAAACAGTCTTTAAGCAAGCCAAGCTGACCCAATAAATAATGAATGAGCAGATTACCAGTTGGCAGGGAAGCTGCAAGGGTTTGTAGGAAGAAGCCAAGAGGCTGAGTGAAGACTACAGAGGGCGCTGTAGGATAAAGTGTTCAGCAAGCAAAAAGCCACTTAGAGGATACAAAGCAGAAGGAAACAGAAATGAGGTGAAGCAAAGGCTTCCCATCAGACAAAAGCAGAGAGACAGGGAGGGAGACAGGGAGCACAGGACGTGGTATGAGTCCCACAGCCTCAGTTTCTGATTAAGCTGTTGTTTCAACACAGGTTCATCCTGACGTACTAAAAAACCAAACCAAAACCTTCTTCTTAAGATAGGCTGAGTCTCAGTCTCTGTCTCCAACAACTGGAACTTAGCACTCAGAATCAGTGTTAATGATCTAAGCCTGCACTAAATGAGAAGTATACACGAACACTACATATTCTTAGTAAGTTGCATATAACACATGAGACTTTCCAAACACGCTGAAATCCCTTACAGTGAGGCAGAACTGTCCCACTCACTTACTTGGCCATCAAGATTAACCTACACTAATAGCAGTTGTCTCTATTTAGATGCCTTAAACCCAAATTCTAAAACCTTGTTATTTCCCAACTTGTCTGAAAAGTTCTTTTACAGAAAGTTCTTAACAAACCACGCTCCTTTATAATACAATGCTATGTAGGAAATCCATGATGTCACAACAGATTAATAAGCATTATTCATTCATTCCTCGGGCAAGGCAAAATATTTTTTTGAAACAGTTGTTATACAAATAAACAGAAAATAAATGGAAAACATTCTCATTACTTTTACATAATTACGTCCAGTACATTAATAATTTTATACATGCTTTGATAACACAGAGTCTGGAAACAAAGTTACAAAACAGCCAAGGAAGGCCATATCCAGTTTGCAGAAATACCAGTACCTGCAGGGTCTGCAGTGTTTTTATAAACAGGAAAGAGTTGATAGAATTCTAAAAATCAAGAGATAATACCTATAAAATCCTGTATGTATTTCTCACTCATCTGACTATGTGAGCTGACAATTCTTTCCAAATCAACAAAGATTACCACAGCGCAGGAGTGACTTACTCCACTTAGACAACGTGCGTGTTCCGTTCCTGCTAATTTTCCCTGTCGCCTGCTCATCCTTGTGGGTGTTTTACTTTGCAACCTTTATTTTAGAGACAGGAGATTTATAAATCTCACCTGGGCATCAACATGTCATCTTTTTAAAGCTATAAATAGCAGGACTACTATCTTAAAGTGATGACCAAAGCAACAGGAAATATGTTGGCATTTCTAGTCTGCAATCCGTTTTCTGTTCAGTGACAGGTAAATGCAAATGTGCCTTTGCACACTCTCCAGTTGTTTCTTTGCTATGCCCTCCTTACCTTTTCGGTCTGGCTTGAGGTTCCTATCCACGGGGGGCGGTTCACAGTCTGCAACAGGAACTGGCCTTCTGGGAGGGGTCTTTGGGCTAGACCTGAAGCCCATATGAGCAGGGGGAGGAACTTGCATTCCAAATGAAGAGAAATCAAATGTTCCTGGAGTCATTGGCACGTAATTTGCTTCCTGAATTGGTTCCGTGAAACTGCTGGAATGTTGTCGTGGTGGTGAGTTGGGATTCATTGGGACGTAGTTTTCATCTAGTTCTTCACTTGAGACACTTCCCACTGTCAACACATTTTTGATTTTCTAAAACACACATACATTTCTCTTAATACACAAAAACTACTGTCAACCGGGAAAATACGATTCTCACATTCATTCCTATGGACCTGGAAGTACTTTCATTTCATGACTTCATTTGATCTCAAGCTCATAAGCACAAAAGTTTGGCAAAGAAATACTCTCAGCAATGCCAAGGTCAGATATACTTACAAAGTGGTTATGGAAGCCTTCAAGCGAACTAGATCTATCACTTGGAAATGTTCGTGGAATATCATAGCAGTCTTGGGAGCCAGCATCTAGAATGAAGAACAAACTATCAGCATTTCTTTCCATCTTTGCAGGGTCTCAGGGTTATCAGGAATGACCTGTTCTCGTCTCTTTACACACATAATTGCATGAATGCACACACTGACTAGTAAAAGAATGACCACGGAATGGTAGTACCTGGACTTGGCACACAGAACCACTAGGAAATGCAGGTACACACTCCTATGCTAGCCAATAGCAATTATGGAAGAAAGTAAATTTTTAGGTCTGTGATAATTCAGGGTATAAATATACAGATAAAAATGAAAAACAGTGCTTCTGATTCTCTCTCTCTCTCTCCCTCTCTCCCCCCTTCTGTCTCCCTCTCTGTCTCTGTCTTTCTCTGTCTCTCTCTTGTCTGTCTGTCTGTCTGTCTCTCTCTCTCTCTCTGCAATAGCATGGATTTAACTTATGTCACATTAACTAAAAATCAGATCACTTTAAGAAGGGACTAAGAAATTGATGTTAAATGGTTAAATAAGTTACTGATATTAACTTTTAAATAAGTTTTAAAATATTTTTAAAATTACATTAAATCTGTATCTTCTTTAAGATACTAAGAAAAGCTAGGGATGTAGCTCAGTGGCTCAGTGCTTGTCTAGCACACCCAAAGCCCTGGGTTAAATCTCTAGTACGGGGAAAAAACAAACAATCCTCTGGACTATAAGCCAGAAAACTACAACAAAACACAGGCCTTTTAACACAGGGTTTTTTAGAACATGTACGTTAACAATTGTGGCTTTCTGTATTTAGGACTTTAAGAATTTTAAAAAATAACCCACATTCTTCCCCTCTCTTGAGGTTGTTAACTTTTGATTGTAGGCTCTAAGAGACAGCATAAGAAAAGTAAACCCATTAGCAATAACTGGAGTGACTAGTGATAAGCGAAAAGATTCAAAGCTTTAAAAATAAGCAAGTAAGCACAGAGAATAATGGCTTGATTGGAACAGAATTATCACCTGTTAGACACAACACAGAAACTGCTTATGTAGGAAGGAAGGAAACAGAGCCCAACAGATGTGACACAGAAGTGGCCGTAATGGCACACAAATACAGGAAAGGGTATGACTAAGGAGGGGCTTTGTGGCTGGTCCATTTCCTGCTCCTCTGTCCATTCCACCCAGGATTCATAGAAAGTGGGAGAGAGGTACATTTTTCCTGAGGCAGGAAGGCATTACAAAGCCCATAATCTTCAGGAATGAGAAACTCTACTCTCTCCCTTCCAACAGAGCTTGCACTCACACATACACAAATGCACACATACAGCCACACAAAAACACATGCACACACTTACATACGCATGCACGCACACCTTGCCAGGGACCTACTAAATCTCTAATATCTTGGCAACATGAGTAGCCAACTGCAGAGGTAAAGGAAAAAGGGCTTCTGTTCAGTATCACAACAATTACCCCATCCCTAGGCTCTAATAGACTAGAAGCAGACAGATGCTGACCTTTTCGTAACTTGTTCAAATCCACGGTGGAGATGGTGTTGCTTCGTGATGGTGGCATTCCTGCTGTAGGAATGCAGTAACTGCTGTCAGTGTCTAAGGCTCCATGTGGGATACTACATGTTTCTACAGGAGAACGGTCATGAGTTGGATGGGGTTTTGGTGGCCGAGGCGGGGGAATATCTGGAAGAGCATCGAGCTTTGATGTCTGTCCCAAGGTTCCTTCTGGAAATGTTCGTGGAATCTGGTAAGTATTACCAGGTGTTGGAGGAATGTCATAACTAACAGATATGTGCCTCATTTGAGTCTCTACGCTTGATGTCCCAGAAGGGGTGTTAAAAACATAGAGTTCTCCATCAGCTTCGGTACTTGATGGAGACTCCTTTGGCAAAACATCATGGGAATAACTCCTGGGCAGCTTATAAAGGCTGGAGTCTACAGAGACAGATGTAGCACGTGAGGGAAGAGAGTCATACATCACTTGCTGCTGAAAGAAGCCATTCACTCCATGTTTGCTCTGGGAGGAGGCAGGATTTTTATGAGGAGGGACGTTATCATTGCAGTCTGTTTCAGACGAGGTGGACTTTGCAGAATCAGCATGGGTTCTAAGTAAAAAGTGTTAATGACAAAATAAAACATGGTTAAGACATTGTAAAATTTTGGTAAGCAAATTGATAGCTTAGCAATCAAAACGTTTGTTTTCTCCATTAGATTTTTCTGTATGACCCATAAGATTTAAAACACAAATGTTCTTTTAGTATTTTATGATTATACACCAGACAACAAAACCACCACCACAAACCACCAGAAGCGTTTCAATTCTTGTCCTGTACCTGCTTGCACCATCAATTCTACCAAGGAGATTCACACATAAAAACCATAGCCCTGAGGCACTAGAATTAGATATTACAAAACTCTGGGAAAGCAAAATGAAGGTGTAGACAACAAGAAAAACCATTTCCTATGAAGAGCATGCAAAAATCTGGTACCAGTCCAGTTTATTAAGTTGATCCACTGCTGTTTAACCTGCCTGTGGCAAATCTGATGTTCTGCAAGACTAAAAGTCAAATGAGTACCTGGAACTGGGCAAAATCAATATGACCTACAAAGAGTTAACGAGTTAATAGGTGTCATGTCTCTTCCCTTAATTTTCTTTAACATTCTATGTATGCTAGAGAATCAAAACACACGGCATAGAGTTAATGAACCTGAAACAATAATTAACTGTGACAAATCTTACTTGGGGATATTTTTACTTTAAGGACATTTTCAGTCTCTGTATCCTGAGATATCATAAAATTTTAGGATAAGCTAAGGTAAAGCTAACAATTCAAGCCTATTCTCATTTCCTTCACAATAAACGAGGTGCAGAACTACCTGGACGTGTCGTCCAAACTCCTGCAGGAACTGAAATTATTTAATTTCATTTAATTTATTTAATAAATTGTGACAGTTGTTTTTAAAGGGCTTCTCCTCCCTGACTGCTTCCTAACGTCTGGCAGTGCATGTCATTTCTACTGCGGAGTCTTCTCCTTGTCCCCCATATTGTACTGTCCTGATTCTCCTTCTCTTCTCTGATCGTTTCCTCTTTTCAATGACTAGCTCTTTCTGCTGTCTCTCCACTACCTGCCCTCTACCACTCAGGCCATTCATTGTTAGAGAATCCTCCTTTTTTATCTCTTTACATTCTTTTCTGAATGCTGACAATGCCTGTCTTCTCACCTTACTGAGTCTCATATTCTCAAACTGGTATTTCTACTCAGTTTATTTATCCCTGTAGGACCTTGCTCATACGTCCCAAGTCAAATTTACCTTACTGAAACTGATTGTCCTTCCTGACTTCCACCCACAGAAATGCCTTTCTCTAGATTCTCTAGAATCGCAATTCAGTAGGCTTGATCCTCCTCTCCTGGACCCTCACTATCCTTCTCTCTTGGGCCCCCACTATCACTCAGGAACCAAGTTTCAAGTCCTTCCTACCCACATAACTATTCCCATTACCACCACCACTCCAAGTTCAGGCCCTTGTCTCAGGTCACCTCTACAGTACTTAACTTTCTAACTGGATTTTACTCCAATGCCTCCCTTTTCCGACCCATCCATGGGACTACACTACTATAAGATTAATCTTTTCAACGTAAAGATTTTATATTATTCACCTACTCAGAGAAACCTATTAGGTCTCTATAGGGTGTGGAAACTACAAGGTAGAAGGTAGTTCACTCAGCACTGGGGCTACTGCTGGGCTCCACCTTGTAGGTCCCAACGCTTCCCAAATCCAAACCTTTTCCTAATCAAACTCTCTTTTCCATGTCTTCCACCCACCATGTTCATTCTTACCTCTTCTTTCTCTCAAAAGACTTTTGCACCCGTTACTAATAATACACTCCTTTTCTTGTAGTGCATCCCAAATATTACTTCTCTCATGAAGCTTCTTAGTGACTTCTCTATATTAAAAACACTTTCACTGCCCCCAGGTAGAGTTTCTAACTCAACTATGCACATTCTGAAATGCACATGTCATTAAATTCAAATGCAGAAACTAAGGACAGGGGTATAATGGGTAACAAGAAAAGCTTCCTGCTCTCACTAGCTTATAGTTTACTAGAGAATAAGTAAAACTATCAAGCTATTCTTAATACTGCAACAAAAGCATGATACAGAAGCACAATCACCGTGCTGTAAAAGCCCTGAGAGACAGTTAATCCACCTGCAAGTTTGGGGAAATGCTTCCTGCAGGAGCTGTCTTGTAGAATGATCAAGAGTTTGCAAAGCAACTATCACCTATTGTACAAGCACTAATGCTTGCATTCTATGCCATCTTAACAAGTCTTACCAGCAAATTCCACAGGCAACTGTCTCTGAGGGCACTGTATACTACATGATTAATTTGTAGCTTGATAGCACCTAGTGCAATAGTGGGCACATTGTGCATACTTCATAAATACTTGTTATTTAACTGTCACTTCTGCAAAATATATCTGGGTAATAACTTTAATTTCTACTGCAACAAAGAAAGCTATGATATCAATGGAAAACATATATAAAAGGCAAATGTACTGAAAACGTACTGAAAAACTGTCACTTAGCTATTGGCTTTTAAAAAGGATATTGGAAAATAAAATCATAGTTAGTAGCACAGGTAACAAAGGTGCAAGTGTGTAATTTAAAGTACTCACAGCAAACAAGCACAATCAAGTTAGAATTTGGTATTATTAACTAGTGTTGATTTCTATAATTTTCTTGCTTTTACAGGTAAAATCCCATTACAACAAACATATAGAAAAACAACTTTGCAATGTATGGGGTGTGTCCATCAACTCAAGGAATAGATCATAGAAATCATTTAATAAATTCTATGTATAAAAATATACGTAAGTATAAATTATATGAATAGAAATTATATAATCAATCCTATGTAAAAAAATGTAACAAGGGATATGTCTGATTCTAGCTCAGTAGCAATTACTTTTAACATTAAAAACTATATTGTTGTAAAAGTAATAAGATGTTTAAAAAAACATCTTTTGGCCAGCAGTGGTGATGCATGCCTATAATTCCAGTATTCTGGGAGGCTGAGGCAAAAGATTACAAAATTGTGCTCAGCCTAGACAATTTAGTCAAATTCTGTCTCCAAGGGGCTGGGGATTTAGCTCAGTGGCATAAGCGCCTGCCTTGCAAGCAGGCAGTCATGAGTTCGATCCCCGGTACCGATAAAAAAGAAAAAGACAAAAAAAAAATTTTTGTCTCCAATAAAAGTAATAATAATAATAGCAAAAAGGACTGGGGATATAATTCAGTGTGAAAATTCTCCTCCATTTTTGTATTGTAAATAAACATGCCCAATTGATGGTCACTAATAGTCACAGGACTGTTAATGGCTTAGGCCAGCCTGTCGAACGTTTCCCTGCTTCTCTTTTAAATAGTAAACCATGCTCTCCAATCCCTTCTGTCACTTTAAGCCTCCTAATTGCTTACCATCAAATGTCAAGGACGATTAAGGTAAAACTTCTAGCTTCCAAGATGACAGAGAAGGAGACAGCAGAGTATCAAAGGATTAAGAAAGGCCTATGGGCCCTTCAGTCAAGCACTGCACAACAAATTTTTAAGCAGAAAGAAGTATATGGAATCAAAGCTTGGGGTTAGTGTTGATTGACTGCTAGGGAGGAAATAAAGTTGTATCGCTTTTAACAGTAGATTTGATTTTGTCAAATTGCACTAAAATTCAATTTGTATATTCAATAGAATCTGTCATATTGGGATTTTACCTGTATAATTAATGTCTCACACAGATCCAAAACAACTACAACACACTCACTGCAATGGAATCGTTTTGCTTTCAAAATCTTCTAGTAGTAGGTATTCCTCTCCTTCTTCAGAAACAAAAGATGACCCTTGGCTGGTTTACAATCACATAAGAAATGGAGCAAGATCACCATTTATAAATCAGTGAACTCTGTTAAGCAAGTAATACTGTGAGTCTGCAACAAAGAGTGTGAAACGGTAGCCAGATTTCCAAAAGAGTCTGATGGGTTACAACTCTTCTCTGCCCAAAGCAGTAGAAATTGCATGTCTTTAACTAAAAAATCTCCTGAATATTAGCCCTCATTAATAGAGAAATATAAATTAAAAAAAAATTAAGCTTGCAACCTATGCTTAATAGAGGGTGGGAGCCTTTAATCAAGGTTTAAAAAGCAGACACAGTTTACCTGGTGGGTTCAGGCTTCTTGCTTTGACAGTTGATAAGCAAGAGGTAGTCTTGGGGATCATCCTGGATGCCAAGAGGTTCCGGGTGTGGCGGGAGGCTGATGAGCTGGTACGGAAGAGGTAGAGCAGCCGAGGTCGGCTCTGCCTGGGTGCAGGAGGCTGCCACATTTATAGCAAAAGCTGGATCAGCAGGTGCTTGTAAAGAGGTGCTGGGTGGCTTCACAGGATCTGCAATGCCAGAGGACTCTCAGTATTGATCACGTTTTACAAAAAAGCAAACTGTCTGAGTTAAACAAAGCTAGTTTAAAGTTTGGAGATACTTTTGTTTCCACACATAAAACGGGGAAGGAACATGGCAATGTCTCTAACAGCAAATAATAATGACAAGGCATTATGTTTGTAGGAAGTTGACGGGTGCTTCTCAAAGCTCTAAAATCCCAGCTACTTGGGAGGCTGTGGGAAAGGAGGATTCCAAGTGTGGGACCAACCTGGGCAACTTAGTGAGATCCTGTCTCAAAATAAACAGAAGCAACAATGACCAGGGATGTGCGTGACTCAGTAGTAGACTGCTTGCCTAGCATGCACGAGGCCTTGGATTCTATCCTCAGTACCACCAGAACAAAGGAGCCTTTCTTCTGCCCATGGGCTCTAAAGAAAGCCAAGGTTAACTGTGCTTCAGACAATCATTAGTTTTTGGGTGTGAAAAATTAAGGCATTCTACAATCTCAGCACAAGACCGTTTTTTTTTTTTTTTTTTTTTTTAATAATCAACGAAGTGCTTCCCAAGCCAAGCCAAGCATTCAGGGAGACCCATTTGATGACATGGACTTCACAGACAAGCTGCTGCTCTTTACCCTGGGTTTGTTTTGCTGCCCATTCTTTTCACTTCCATCTGATGAGGGAGATATAGCTACAATTCTGGCACTGGTACAAATGGGTTCTACTGATATTTAGGGGAAGGGTTTCTCTAAGACAATGTCTCTTCACTAGGCTCACAACCTCACCTGACTGTTGTAGATTTTCATAAAAAGGAACTAGCCAGCAAAGAGAAAAATCACTATGTTTTGAGAACACATAAAAAAGAGAAATTGTATAGAAGGAAGTAATTTGAAAATCTAGAAATAAAAACTTCCCTGTTATTACTGACATGACCAAGCACAATTTTAAGGGCCCCGAAGGAATATGTTCTGTTTACCTGGTTAGAAATACAAGGCATTAAAGTAACACAGAAAATGACAAATGCTCATGTATAAAAATGATTGTTGGCTGCCTGTGTATAACAGAACAGAAAAGGCTGGATTGAAACTGAGAGTTTTATATTACATTCAGGTAAAAGATGCTCACATGTGGTAAGGGATGGATATTCTACCAAGCAGAATCAAAGGTCACTCATCCGTCAATTCACTACAGAAGTGCTAAACATCAGCTCTGTCTTCTCTAGATATTTAGAAATAAATCCACAAGGTTTTCATAACATCTTTATGTTTTAACAATAAGATTCATATATGCACAACAAGTCTTTGCCGCTCATTTTACAACCCTTCCTCTTAAGGACTGAAGGTCACATCCTAATCGTGAAGCCCAGTTCTCCAACTGTGGGGCCCAATAGCAAAGAAACAAATGAATTAAAGGAACGGCCCTGCTAAGTCTACTGTGCCTTCCATATGGTAGATGTTGAAAAAGATGCTTCAGTCACAGGGCAGAAATTCACTCAGCGCTGTCATACAGAGACAGTAAAGCAAAGGCACTGGCAACACTGAGACCCACTCACCTGGTGGGGGGGCCTGGGACTTACTTTAGTGAGCCCTGTCGGATGCTAAAGAAGTTTGGGAATTTCTTTCCATTAGAGAATACAGCCTGAACAAACAGAGGTTGGACTTTTTTTTATTGTTATACTGCTTCACAGAATGGCAAGTCTTCTTCACACAGGTTTATGTAACAAAATCCTTACACCAGGAGTTAATTCTTTTTTATTTATAGAAGACAAGAACAACAGTAGTAATATAAAAATAAATATTTAGATATTTAGATAACATTATATTATAATTTCAGTGGGTACTCATTAATATTGGTTGTGGAGGTGATACCCTATGAAACGTTTTACTCTTTGGGTTCAGTTGCAAATATACAGAAATTTTCTTTATGGGAATTTAAAATGGCACAGATTAAATATGACTCAATAAATCTTTGTAGATTTAAGAGAACTATGAAAAACATTTATGTTTGAAGATGAATTTAAGGAAAATATACACAACATTTGAGGAGGTAAAGATCAGAAAGCAATTAATGTGTCCTGTAGGCTGTATTTATGAGTGTATTTTGTATACTGGGTAAAACTGAATAATCTAGTTCAATTTTTTGTTCTAAACACAACAAAATAACTGGAAACTCAGATATGTATTTGTCTGTGCTCTTAGCTTCTTACTGTAACTCCTACAATAATTGTTCCAAGTGATTTCCATGTGTACATTTTTCCTTCAGTATTTTTTCTAAACCTGATGGCTAAACACTAAATGAATTGAGTAACCCATATTAAGTTTGAAAGGAAATCACCCAACAAGGGAATATATTTATTTGACCTTGCTTTTATTAACACAATGGGGTCATCTCATTTTTAACCTTTCATTTCTTCTACCTGTGAACAATAGAAATATTTTAATCCTCACAATCTCTATTTTCTGATAAAAAGTAATGAATTAAATGGCTTTTTCCAAAAGTGACTTTCAAGAGGCAAAAACCAGAAAAACTTACAGAGAGAAAAGTTTTTAAGCAGTCTTGCAAAGCAACTGCAATCATTCCAGGCAATACTGATATACAAAGGTCTAATGCAAAGGGAAGGGAACATCACTCTACCACTTTGTCTCACAAAATGCGTAATTTCCAACATGTAATATATCTCTAGTATCCATAATAGCAATAGTTTGTGGGATAATTTTACTCATGTTAACTATATATTCAACTTTGCATGTTTTAATAAAAGCACTGTATGAAGTCTAAATATTCTCTAACTTAAAATTTCTGCCTAACATTAACGACTTGTCTGAAAAAGGAAGTTCTGCTCCACCTTATAAAAATATGTGATTTACACCTTATTGTACACTACAAGTAGTAGAACAGAATATTCTGCTTTCTGCCTTGCTAGAGTTTCTGATTTACTATTCTAGGTAATGCTAGCATCATGCTTCTAAGAATCAAACACTGGTTTAGGGTTTGTTGATGCCTGTAAAATTCCCATTTCTTAAGTCAGGAGGCATGAAGAGTATAATTAAAGCCATTAAAGGCCTAATAAGCTACTGGAGCAAATTCCTAATTGAAATTTACTTGGAAAGCTAATAAGTATTGCTGAAGAAAGCCTTTCTGTGAATCAGCTTTCAGCAAAGAGAAGCAGATTGTAAGTCGATGAAATGTACTAACATTAAACCAGGTGTTATGGCTGGTGCCCAGATGTTCCCCCAAAGCCTCATGTAGTCATAGAGGGGGCTTTTTCACAGGTGGCTGGATCTAGAGTGTGTGGTGCAATGCAAGGCTCAAGGGCACTAAGATTAAGGGTATCAGTGCTACCCGCCCTAAGTAACCTGGACAAGGTATAAGGGACAGAAAGAGCTCTGGTCATCCCTTACTTGTTTTTGCTTTCTTCTGTTTGCCACCAACGTTTTCTCCTCTGTGATCCCCTCTACCAAGTCACACTGCCTTGGAACTGGCCGATTATGGAGTGAAACCCCTACAAACTGTGAGTTAAATAAACTTTTCCCCCTTTAACTCTGGGCGTCAGGTATTTTTGTCTTAGCAGTGAGACTAAGACACCATGGCATATGACCCTGCACCTAACAGTTTTACCCTATTTGGAACTATAATACTTAGTGTAAGTGCTTTTCTAATTAATACCTCTAAATATTCAAAATGATTGTTTTGGGGGCTGGGAATGTAGCTAAGTAGTTAAAGCACATGCCTAGCATATTCAAAACCTTGGGCTTGATCACCAGACAGCAAACCAAAACAAAAACACAACTATTTTTTAGTCATTTTACTACAACAACAACAACAACAAACAGTTTGCACTGTAAGAAGTAGTCCTACTCTTTTTTATTGGTAAAGTAGAATGTTGCAAAAGTTGATGTAGGTTCTTTAAATTTGCCACTATTACTTACTACGTATACCCTGAAGTTGCTATAGGGTAATCCATGATTTTGTCAGAAGCCCAGATGAGATTCTTTTCTCTGAAAATGAACTTTGTCTGCTGATAGAGCACATTTTAAAGTTTCCATTGTCAAGGCTTACCTTTACGTTCACAATAAAAGATAAATAGGTCATGGTTACTGTTTATTATTGGTTACTGATTTATGGGATATGTTGTAAAATTTTTGTTTCTGTAAAGATAAGCATTTTGAATAGATCCACCCCACCTTAGCAAATAAATTGTTCCTTACCATTAATACCAACATGACCATCTCACTTCTGAATACACATTTTTATGAAAGACTGTTTTATGAAGCTAAGTCTAACAAATGAATGCAAACAGGAAACAGGAGTAATAGCAACTGTCAGTGAAGCAATCTGCAGTTTCTTCAACTTAATCACCTACTGAAGACCCTTAACCACTCCATAATATACTGAATGTGTTTCAATTACAAACGACATCTTGTTTGTCCTGATGCTTTCCTTAATACATTACAAAAACATCCTCAGGACTTTAAAATAAATCCTTAGACAATGTTGACAAATATCTTAATTCTTATATAGAGGTTAGACAGCTGTTCATATCATTTGTGTGGTATTTCAGAAACAGAGTGCCTGGGCCCTACCACAGGACACTCAATAAACTAAGATCATTTGGGGCAGTAGCTTAAAATATAATAACACAAAACAAATGCAAAACACCAAATGTACTCTTTAGTTGAATTTAGTCCTCAGAAAAAATGCAAGTTAAATGTAGCTAAGTAGTTGAAGCACATGTCTAGTATATTCAAAGCCTTGGGCTAGATCCTTAGACAGCAAAACAAAACAAATACACAACTCTCTTATGGTCATTTTACAAAAACAACAACAAACTATATTTAACTACTTAGCTCCTACTTAGCTACATATGCATTAGAGTGGCTGCAATGAATGACTGATGATACCAAATGTTGGGGCAAATGTGGACTAAGCGGAATTCTCACACATTGCTGGTCGAAAAGCAACTGGTAGAAGGGCTCTGCAGAAATCTCTCTATACACACAGCCTATGAC